ATACATAACACATACATACATACATACATACATACATACATACATATGTCTTCATGACAATATGCAAGTAAAACAATAGCGAGTTTGTCTATGGATGTCTATATACAGTACATATATATATATAATAATCTTATCTATCATTTCATATTACATATTATGGTGTTGTCAATAACTCCGTGTATGTGCAGGGGTTTCATTGTCGGTCTATGCGAGAATACACATACATTAAATAGACATGACACTTCCTTTGGTAAGTACCTACGACTGAATCTGATTGGGCTTTGGCATAATAACAAAGATGTGTGTATGTGTCTGTATACATGCATGAACTTTTATGTGTGTGTATGTGTTTGTGTGCTGGCACCATGTATATTTGCCTGCTCAAAGACATGTATACAGCTTTACATATGTATATGCATATATTCATATATGTATGTGTATATATGTATATATTATGTAGATGCGTGTCTATAGGAGGGTTTGTCTAACTGTGCGGGAGGAGATGACCATATTGACTAGTTGACATGACATAGACAGTGTATTTAATTTCCCACAGAAACCACCCAACACTACAACTACAAGAAAGTCCGAACCGAAGAATAATTGAACCCCGAATTTCTGATCAAGAAACCTTCAGCAGCCCGAGCCGGTACCAGTGCCGCCTCTGCAGCTGCCTTCTTTTTCTCGGCAAGCCTCGGCGAGGAACAACCGAACCGAAACTCTCCGAAAAAACCACGACCTACGAATCCCAAAAATGCACAGGTGTGATTCGACCCACAAATAAAGATGAGCCACCTTGCTCGGATGCTGGCAATGTGCTGCTCCAACATACGACGTTTCATGTCACAGGCAGCTTCAGCACCACCCGTCAAAACACATTCATCATCAGAATCTGCTGCGGCAGGGGGAGCTGGCTTTGTTTTCGCGGCAGTGGCCACCGGAACCTTTTCCGTAGCTTTCCCACCCCGTTCTTCTGGGGCTTCCCCAGCCCCTTCTTCTTCTTCATCATCATCATCCCCGTCCTCCTGCCCCTCCGTGGCAGGCACCTCCATCTCTGGGTAATCGGCCTCGCACAGAATCAAAGACAATCCCGGACACAATAATGTGGCCAGAAGCTTGAGCCCAACGATAAAAAACCCTGCCTTCACACCAAAGGCGGCCACGACATGGCGATACGTCAGATCCTTGGGAGATTGAAAGCTTCGGCGACTGCCTACCAACATGAACGATGCCCGAAATCATCCATGCAGTCTTTTTGCTACTGAGATTCCCGGGATTATCTCTCACTAACAAACTGCTTCTTGCACATTGAAAGCAGGCTCTTGATGTGCTTCGCATCCGAATGACATGTAGCCATGATCACATCTGACAAGCGAAAATCAGCAGGCAACTTGGGAGGTCGACCTGCTGCAACAGCCTTTCGCTTGTCCTTGGCCTCGAAATACTTGTACCACAAAGCAGAAAGCTCCTTAGCCAGAACCTCAACACTCGGGATTTTCAAGCTCCTTGCAGCTCGCATCTGCACCATGATAGGTTTCAGAAACATATCGTTGGCGACAGCCGTAGATTGGATGCAAAGCGGGGCCCTTTCGCCCTCCGGAGGCACAATCAAACCCTTTGACCCCTCCTCCATCAGTCTCTCTCTCACTTCAGGATTCTGATGCCATGCTGCACCCAAGCCCGCAATCTCAACTTCTTGAACCTCGCGATCCATGGCCTCCCCGTGGCACTATCCACCAGGGCCCAAAAATGATCTCAAATGCAGCAGGTCACATACCAATTGCGAGAACAGCTCTTTTCATCAGATCGTGTTGCACTGGCACATGCTGCACGAAACAATGCGAAGCGAGCAATCAAGAGTTTGCGGGGCTGGGCACACCTGTACCTCGGCGCCATCCATTGGCGATCAAAGGAAGTCGCCCATTGCAAATGTTGCTGCTGATTACAGAAGCTGCCTGTTCGATTCTCGATGTGAACCCAAGATGCTCAGATGACAGCTGTCTTTGCATGAATCGAAGCTCTAGAAACCTCGCCAGTGCAGCTGTCTTTGCATGAACCGAAGCTCTAGAAACCTCGCCAGTGTGACATGACCCTCTGTGAATCACCTAAACCCCTACTAAGTTAAGTGCCTTGTAACACCTTGATCCGGATCGTCGGCGTGCAGTCGCAGGGCTGTCTGTGGCCTGGAGTAGGAGGCTTTCTTCGGTGGGATAAGTTGGGGCTTGGATACGGTTCAGGGGTATATCTTAAGGGTTTAGGGGAGGATGCCCTGAGGAAGTTGTCGGCTGTTCATGAGTGCTATTCCTAAAATCCAGCCGCTTTCAACACAGCTAAAAAAACAATTTATAAACCTGTTTACGGCCGCTTTACGGGGAAATCCAGATTCCAGGAAGAGGCTGGATTAAAGTGGCCGCTAGTATCTTCAGGTAAACCTTGCTCTAAGGTTTGGAACTTTGACAAGCCGAGGCCCTAAAACCCTAATCCCCAATCCTTGCTCTGAGGTTTGGAGCTTTGAAGCCCAAGCCCTAAAGCCCTAAACCTTAAACTGCCCTAAACCTTGTATGCTCCCGGACCCTACGCCCTAAACCCTACAGGCTTGAACCTTAAAGGTTTGAAGCCTCGATGGGCACTCCCGGAGCTGGCATGGGTTGTTTAGGTTTAATTTAGGGTTCAGGGGTAGATGGATGACAAGCCTGGTGAGGACCCAAAGGAGCGCTCGTCGGGTTTAGGGTTTATATGGATTCGGGTTTAGGGTTTAGTGGCTTGGGGTTTATCATTAGGGGATTGCATTTCGGAGGCTACACTTTCAGGATTGGGATGCGCTATGACCCTTAACCCTGAACCTTCAAACCCGAAAGGCGAGCCGAACCGACTTCCAGAATCAAACGAACGAGCACATGCGCACATACATCTCGACGACCTCATATGACTCCAAGTTTGTAGACTCCTTTGTGTACTAGCCCAACTGCAAGCATGATATGTTGCACAGCTTGAAAAGACAACTGGCCCATTAGACCCTACCCTTATATGTATATATTATGTCTGTTTTATCTACCTATATCTCTCTAGTCCTACCTGTGTTGTCCGAAGATATATGTTGTAAGGCATGGTGTGGCATTTGCATCTTTAGGGCTTGGACTGAAGAGGCAACTTTCCCTCCGAATCTGAAGTCTCGCTGTCCCCGAAGCTAACAACCTAAAGCGAAAACCCAGCATACAGAACCCTGCCACAAGTTAAGTCAGGTGTCCGACATATGTAGGTTTTTTCTTTTTTCATTTTTTTATTTTTTTACCGGCTCAAACGGAACAGCTCCTAGAGGGGCGGGGTGCAGGCATGCAGGTGACACGCATGTGGCTCTGACACACGCAGGTCGGATGGCTGAGCTATCTGTAGTCCTCTCGGCTCAATTATCCAGCTTGTTTCCTGCCTAGGGCAAAGCTGGATGCATTAAGAGAGGATGGCTGATTTTCGGATGCACTGGCTCGGATTTGACGGCCCCGGGGCAGATTCTCGCGTTCTCGCGAAGGGCTGATTCTCGCGCACGCAAAATGTGTCCTCGCGCGCAAGCTTAATTCTAACCACATTGGGCTGTGTAGGTTCTTTTCCCTCGGCCAGGTCTGCGACCCCACCTCCCACAAGAACGGCAGCACCATCTACACGACCATTCTTCGATGGTCCCGGCATGGAAACGGAATCTGATGGTTCCTCTGCCCCACGATTTGGTGCGCCCGGTTTTTTTTTTGCCGCCCAGGCGATGTGGGGGACCGCGGTCGAGCCACCCCGACGGTTGCTCCTACTGCCCGTGGCCAGTCACCGACTCAACAGTGGTTGGAGCGCCCGCATACCACGCCGATGATCGTCGAGGTCGATGACAACAACCCAGAGTCGACCACAACGACAACGCCTCACAGAGTGCCCGACGATGATGATTTGTGGAACGCCGTCGAGACCGAAGTCCAAGAATCTCGACGAGCTCAACAAGAACCATTCGACTTCTGGGCAGAAGTCGATGAGTGGGTCAACAGCGATATCCCTGAGTCCGCGAGGCCTACACAACCTGGCCCAGCACGATGGTCCAGGTCAAGGCCATGCCCAACCCGCCCCGATCACGCTCAACCTCGACCCGGTCGGGAATCCGTTTTTCACTGTGACTGTTTCACCGGACGTTTTTCTTAATCCTGAAGGGACCCCCTGCTAGGGTTGCTGTTTCCCCCAGAGCCCTAGAGTTGCGATGGCCCATCCGATGCCGGCTCCGATGGCCTCTTCGATTCCGGCAACAATTTCTTCGAGACCACCCACAACAACCTCTCCGATGACACCCGTGTTCAACGAGCCCTTCAACATCGATGGCTTCCGGTTGACGTGGCCCGCCGAGCAGTTCCGGCACAAGGGGCCCACGGCTCTCGACGAAATTCGCCGAGAGCCACCGGTGAACGAGACGCCGCAATTTGGCTTCACTACGGGTCGCCGATTCACCGGCTTCCCGGTGCTATCTATGGCTTTGGCACCGATGGTGCGGCTGGGCGCGAACAACGTGTCGATGTTACCCCCGGGGAACCATCCGTATGCGGCCTTTGCCCCGGATGCCCCCTGGGAGATCTCCTACGATGGCGTGCTCTACCTCGACCAGGTGCTGAACTCCCCGACGATTCGATAGACTTTGACACCCTTCGGCCTCTTCCTTGATTTTCCAGTTTATCACGATCGAGATCGCACCCTCGAAGAGAGAGTCCTTTTGCTCGGGGTCCCCACCCACGATCCACAGGCGACCCTCATCTACTCGATGGTTTGGCACGCGATGACTGCGAGCTTGTCGGAACTCCACCACACCAGCGTCGAAGAACGGCTCAATCGTCGTGGTTGGTGCTTGTTTTCCATCGCTGTTCATCGCTTGTCACTCAACTATAGCTACATCTCGTGGATCTCAACATTTCTGCGACTCATCGCGGATGCCATCGTCGACTGTGCTTGGGCGATGCTGCCGCCGAACATGAGGATCTACTTCGCGGGACACCCCGACATGGCTCCTCACTTTGCGGCCGAGCCCCCGAGCTACCTCATCAGGCGTAGGAACTGAGCAGGCACATCCCGATCGGCTTTACACCGGAGCTGTACGCTTCCGCCTAGGCGATGCGCGTTACTATACAGGCCCGGAACCGCTTCCGCCTAGGCGATGTGTGGTTTCGTCCCGTATTCTCTGGCGAAATGCCTTCACAGAGTGCTTCGTAGTTGACCCATCAAAAAAAAAGGCACATGCCTTTTGCACCGAGATAAAGAGAAGACCTCATGTAGTGTGGTTAGGCTCCGCATGGTTCGTAGCGGGGCCTACTTTCTCCTTGGAGACTGTGTGGCTTCGGTAGTGCTCGAGTTTTCACTACTCCCCTGCCTCGTAGCTTACCCGCAATCTTCCTTCTACCCGAATTTCGTCATGGCTCCTCGATGTGCCCCCGAACTCGGACACGACAAGATCGAGCAGTACACGGCCAAGCCGACCGATGAGAAAAGAATGAGACGAAAGACTTCAGCGACATCGAGTACCAGACGAAGGACTTCAGCGACATCGAGTACCAGACGGAGGACTTCAGCACCAGACGGAGGACTTCAGCATGGTGGTCCCCGTGTCCAACAAGATGCTCAGCAGCATGGTGGTCCCCGTGTACAAAGCGATGCTCAGCAGCATGGTGGTCCGCGTGCACAAAGCGATGCTCAGCAGCATGGTGGTCCTCGTGTACAGCAGGATGCTCAGCGCGGTGGTCCTCGTGTACAAGACGCTTCGCAACGGCAAGAAGATGGTGAGAGAGAGTTAACCCAACGTGATCTGCTAAGTGTTATCGCAACCGGTGTGCGTCAATTGCAAGATGTTCAGACGAAGGTGCTCCAGAAGAAGGCAGCCAATGAGGAACCGGAGGAGACGGTGAAGCCGGGGGTTACGAGCCTCCCGACTCTACGAGCGCCAGATCCAGTTTCGTCACCAGTGGAGGTTCAGGATTGGCTACAGCTTCTTCAAGCACCCATGGCGGCGGACCTCTCAGACAGCTCGTTTGAGTGGTGGACAAGGGTGCAGGAGTTAGCGACAGACGGCTACAAGGAGTGGGCAAATGCTTCTCCCATGGAGCGACTAGCGATGAAACCACCAAGGGACAAGTCGCTTCAAAAACGCAAGTACACTAGATTGAACTCCCGGGCGGCATCGATGCTTTTGAACTCGCTGGACGAGGCAGTCCGTGCAGACCTTGTGGCTAGGAGGAGCATTCAGTCGGCGAGCCAGATAATCTACAGGGTGCTGAGGTTATATCAGCCAGGGGCTGAAGCCGAGAAGAAGCTGATCCTCGACCAGCTCCAGGCGCCTGGAAAAAGGTATGACCCAGCCACAGCAGCTAAGGCATTGAGGGAATGGGAGAGGTGGTTCCGCCGTGCAGCAGACGTGGGAGTTGCAACGCCAGACTCAACAGTCCTTTCAAGAGCCCTTACAACGATAATGCAACCAGTGCTGGAGCTCTATCCGGAGGCGGCGAGAACATCGTTGGTCAGGAACAACCTACGATTGGACACAAATCCAACTGAGACTGCGGTCCTCTCGTTCCATCGGCACCTCCTGCCAGAGGCGGAGGTGCTAGCAACCGGGCCGAAGGCGAGGCAAAGCTCAACGAGGACCATGTCGGAGGCGTGCAAGTCCCCACCAGAGAAGCCACCGAAGATCAGAGGAGGATAGGAGTGGCAAACCAAAGGCCCCGCCACCGTCTTCTCCTTCGACTATCGCGAATCGCGAAGCCGTGCAAGTGGTTTGCAAAGCCGGATGATGGATGTCGTCGAGGCGGAGAATGCAAGTTTGCTCATGAGTGGGGGCAGGTTCAGAAAAGTGGACGTTGCCTTATATACTTGTATGTTCTGCGGCAGGACACCAGAAGAAGGATTGCCCCACGAAGGATAAGACCCTGCAGAACAAGCCCACAAGGCCCAGAGAAGCTCAGGCCGGAGCGCAACAGCAACAACCCGTCTCGAACAAGGCGATGAATGTGGGTGGCGAGTCTACACCACCTACTCAGCCGGCGGCGGAAGCCTCACCAACGACCTCCCCGATGGCACGATCGAGTACCGGAACCACGGAGGAGAAGCCAGAGGACCTCAAACAAATGTTTGCGGATGCGTCGAGAATGTTGAAAACTATGATGGCCTCTTCTAACCTCGGCAGCAACTTCGTCGACCTCCACTACGGCACCGTCCTACGATTCAATCCAGAAGCAGTTGGATGAGTTGAAGCTGAGAGCAATGAAGGTAGTGAAGAAGGAGGAGAAGCATGGGGAGGGAGCACTCCTGGATTCAGGTTCCACTCACCTGCTCCGCTCGGCCAGCAGTGAAGAGGAGAAAGGGGGAGCCAACAGGTGAGCCTTACGCTGGCGGGAGACGAACGACGGCTATACTACACCAAACGGCTACGGGAAGCATTGTTGTCGACGTGCCTGAGGACGAGAAGAAGGCACAGACGATAATACCGTTTGGAAAGATGATTGCATGTCTTGGATGCACTCTTCCCTAAGGCTCCAGTTAGCCTATTCTTAAGCTTTAGCTAAATCTTAGGATCGTTAGCCGCAGCGGTGGCCCCAGCTGAGGCCTATCACAAGCTAACCTATAAGCTAACCCTTGTTTTGCTAAGCTAACCGAATGCTTAAGCTAACCGCAAGGATAAGCTAACCTAAGAAATAACCGCAAGGATACGCCGTAAAATCATGGAGATCCAGCCTGTATACTCTATAGGAGCTTCGAATCATCCTGGACTGAAAAGGAGCACGAAGGCATCCTGGCTACTAGAGATCTGAGGCCGAAACGTCTAGAGGAGCCCATGGCATCCTGGAGCTATCGCTAAGCACGAAGGCATCCTGGCTACTGCGAAATCTGAGGCCGAAATGTCTCTGTAGGAGCCCATGGCACCCTGGAGATAGGAGCACGAAATCTGAGGCCGAAACGTCCAGAGGAGCCTATGGCATCCTGGAGCTTTTGCTGCACATACCTGAGAAGCTATAGGAGCTTTGGAAGCATCCTGGAGGAAAAAGGCTGCTAAGAAATCTGAGGCCGAAACGTCTAGAGGAGCGAAAGGACTGGCTGCAGGCACGTGCACGGTGCAGTATGACTTTTTCCAAAAACTCCACATGCGGCTGTCGAGTCGAGATCATCTGATCAGCCTACCATTATGACCGGCGGCTCCCGGCGCTTTCCTCGGAAGAATTCGAGGAACTCTTTATAATAACTCTGCTCTTTAAAGTCCGAGCCATGGCGTTTCCGCCAGTTCCTCGTCCGTCTCGACTTGCACAGGCGGTGGAATCTCCGAACAGATTCCAAGCCTGCCCCCTCCCGGCCTGTTCTGGCCTGCAGCAGCGCTGGGGTGTCATCTGCGTCGGCTGGGGTGGCAGCTGCATCGGCTGCACCTGCATCGGCTGGGGTAGCATCAACGGCGCAGCAGGCAACATCTGCAGGAGGCGTTGCTGCTGCTGGTTTTGGTGTTGTTGCTGCTGCTGAAGCATCAGCAACAGCTGCGTCTGCAGCTCCTGCTGCTGCCTTTGTGTCGCTTGCTGATCCTGGAGCAGCTTAAGAGCTGCCTCCAGATCTCCAGGCCCTGCCAGGCAGCTGCTGAGCAGCTGCCAGAAGAGGAGAAGCGGCATCATGGCTGCAGCCGCACCGGGAGCTATAGCTCTAGCTGTAGAGATCGCTCGAGCTCAAAGCACTGCAGTCGGATCAAAAAGAATTCCGAATGCATGCAGAGACATGACAGGCATCCCGGGCATTCTGAACAAAGAGGAGCCAAACTCAAGGCATCCTATATAGGAGCCCACTGCAGGCATCCTAGCTATAGGGGCCCACCCGAAGTACTCGAAACCAAGGACACAAAGCTGGAGGCAATCTTGGTAAAGTTCATGCCAAGAATGGCTGCTGCCAGTTGGCCACGAACATAGACCTCAATCAGTCTTGCAGACGAAGACAGCTTAGAAGAACTCGTGCAGTGCATGAAAATGCATCCAGGCTTTTCCGTTAGCTGCTAGGTCCCCGCTGAAGCTGGAGTGCCAGTGTTGGCTAGACGGACAGCCATGCGAAAGCAGAGCTCTAAGATAATTCAAAGGATGCAGAGATCCTCGCAGCCGCTCACTGCTGCTTCGACACCAGACCACGGCACATGGACATGCTCTCCTGGAGCTCCGAGACTGCCCCGGCGGCTTGCAGGGCACACAAAAAAAGGACATGGGACAGGAGTGGACTAATTCAGCCGGCCTCCCGAAGCAAGCTGCTGACGAGCACGCTGCTTACGGGGTTCTTCTTGTGTGTCCCGAAGACAACAGCTTCGTGAAACTCCGAGATCTTGGCCAAGACCGCTTGGTGTTTTTTTGCAAGAGGCCCTTGCTGGTCACGGCTGTGGCCGTCGTGCTGGTGATGCCGAGAAAGATCTTCTCACCAGCCTGGCGATTCGTCTGGAGCAGTGCCAGGGACTGTTCCAGCTTGCTTCTGTCCTGCTCGCTGCAAGAAAGAGTCGGCGGGCAAAGGCTGCCTCCAACTGGGTCGCTGGGCAGGGCAGGGTTCGGCGGCAGGAGGCTCAAGTCGTAGCTCTGCGCGAAGTCCTTGAACTTCGTGGACTTTTTGGTCCACGTCTGTAGAACTTCCGCAAGCAGTCTCACTGCTTGTCCCCTTCTCGTAGGTCACTTGGATCTCTTGCAGAGCAGGAGAAAGCAAAGCAGAGGACGAAAAGGAAAGAAAACACGACGGGCCTTGAAGACGTAGTAAGTGGTGCCGTCCTCCGTGACCTGCCTGACTTCACCGGTCTGCAGGGCTTGGTCCAGCCCTTCTGGCCACCACAGGCAACCCTGGCTCTGGTCAGGGTGTAGCCGAGGGCCTTGTCTTTGCCCTTGACAGTGTCGAACTTTTTGCGGGCTTCCTTCCACCAGTTGTTCTCCAAGCACAGCTCGAACCGCCCTCCTTTGCCTCGCTTCACCAGGCGGTTCATGGCCTCCGTCGCGTCCTGGCGACCGCACTTCTCGAGGTAGCTGAGAAGTTCCGCCAGCCTCCTTCCTCTTCTGCAACCACCGTCTCTTG